TTTTTAATAAATTAAGTAACGGATGGTTTAAATTTTAAGATATTTTTAAGCAAATCTTTAAAATACTTTACATTATCTGTGACAATTTTAATAGGATTTGTCTATTAAATTATTTTAAAAGTAAGAGCTATATTTGTGCGTGACATAGGTGTGGCGTCATTAATCTGAAAAAGAAAAATAAACAATCAAAATTAATAATCTATAACTACACAATCTACATTACACAATTAAAATTAAAATAGAATACAAAAATTAATAAGTAATATTAAACTTACCTTTGAGTCGTGTCGTATCGTCGCGAAATCGTGACCAAGTCGTCGAGTAGTAAAGACGCCCCGATAATGCATTCGAACAAAGGATTGAAGGCATCGAGGCGGCGCACCCGCCATGCGGTTAGTAAGAATATATCACTGTGCCGATAAGACGTATGACGGTTGCGCCCGGCTATTGTTTGTTTTTGCTATTTGCTTTGAACTTTATCTTCCTTCTCGTGCTAATAACTTCTGTGCTACGCTTTGTGCTAAATTATAAACAGTATTTTATATGTGAACTATTCTGTTTGTGAACAATTGTATTCGTGAGTTATTGTAGCTGTGAACTATAGCATATATGAACTATTTAATTGTGTGAACTGTTCTGCTTAGAATAAACTTTTATAAAAAGTGATTGGTGAGTAATTTATTAAGAATCTCCCCACATCACTTCACTGGTGACCCCGCTTGGACTTTGTACTGCGAGAACCCAAACGTAAGCAGAATCCAAAGTAATATTTAAATAACAATATTCAAAATAAGATGGCAGAGAAACAAGCTAAACCCTCCCAATCATTATCACGGGAAACACGTAACGAAGAAGGGTCATTTACACCATCCGATATATGTCGTGTTGGTGTCCGACTGCCACCGTTTTGGGCTGAAGAGCCTGCTGTGTGGTTCGCACAAGTAGAAGGGAATTTTGCACTCTCCGGTACTAAAGAAGACTAAACAAAATATTATTATGTAATTGCACAATTAGACCATAGATATGCGGCAGAAATCAAAGACATTATAGTTTCATCACCTCAAAAAGATAAATACGAGAAACTTAAAACAGAACTTATCAAGAGGCTCTCAGCATCTAGAGAAAAAGAAGTGAAGCAATTGTTAATGCATGAGGAACTTGGAGATAGGCGTCCGTCACAATTTTTACGACATTTGCAACATTTAGCGGGCCCTAACGTCCCAGATGACTTTATCAGGACAATATGGACTAGTCGCCTCCCAAACAATTTGCAAACCGTAATTGCATCACAGCCTGACTCAACTTTGGAAGCACTGGCTGCCTTAGCTGATAAGGTGCACGAACTTGTTCCGGCATCTCCACACGTAGCTTCAATGGATGCAGCACCAGAATCTTTACTTGGCACAATGTCGAAACAGATCGCGGAACTTACTCGTTAAGTGCAAGCATTATCCTTCCGAAATCAAAGGAAATCACGGTCGCAAAATAGAGACAACAAACGAGACCGCAACCATAGTCACAGTCATACTCGTAATCGGTCTCAGTCAAATTATAGAAGGTTTCCATTTTTCTACTATCATTATAAATTCGGCAATAAGGCTAATAAGTGTGTTAAGCCTTGTGATTACCAACAGGGAAACGATCAGGGCAGTCGTTAGTAGCGACAAATGATTGACTCAGTTCATCCGGTCGCCTGTTTGTCACGGATCGCAGAACGAAGATGCAATTCTTGGTCGACACTGGAAGCGACCTTTGTGTCTTCCCGCGCACGGCACTTAAACAACGACGACCTCGAACATCTTACGAACTTTTTGCGGCAAATGGAACTCCCATACCCACCTACGGCTATGCTCATCTGGAACTAAATCTGGGACTTTGACGAGATTTTTCATGGCGCTTTGTAGTAGCCGATGTAAACAAAGCAATCATCGGAATTGATTTTTTATCATTCTACAATATCGTTGTCGACTGTCGTAACCGTCGGTTAATAGATAATAGTACTTCGTTGCAAACACCTGCTGAGCCTGCTACAGCTAATGTGATAGCTTCTGTTAAAACCATGAAAGGTAATTCAAAGTATGTTGAATTACTACGTGACTTTCCGGAGATTACCCGACCGTCAGGTGTACCGCAAGCTCCTAAGCATAGTACCGTCCACTTCATTCGTCCTAAGCCAGGACCACCTGTGTCTTGCAATCCGAGAAGATTATCACCAGAAAAACTGAAAATAGCGAAACAAGAATTCGAGGCAATGATAAAGAGTGGAATAGCACGTCCATCTGAGAGCCCGTGGTCTTCTCCGCTCCATCTTGTATCAAATAAAGATAACGGATGGCGGCCATGTGGCGATTACAGAATGTTTAACGCACAGACAATTCCAGACAAATATCCCATCAGGTACTTACAAGACTTCACCCATTACATATCGGGTTGTACAATTTTTTCTACGCTAGACTTGGTGAAAGCGCACAACCAGATACCAGTCAACCCAGATGATATTCCGAAGACAGCCATCACCACACCATTTGGTATGTTCGAATTTCCATACATGAATTATGGCTTAAAAAATGCGAGCCAAACTTTTCAAAGGTTTGTAGACGAAATAACACGGGGACTTGATTTTTGCTTCGCGTACCTGGATGATTTTCTAATATTTTCCCAGGACGAAGACAGCCATCTTGACCACCTTCGCCAAATCTTTGAAAAACTTCAGGAATTCGGTATGGTTATCAACACGAGCAAATGTGAATTTGGTAAGAAAGAAATCACCTTTCTAGGGTATCACGTCTCAGCCAACGGTGTTAAGCCTTTGTACAGTAAGGTTCAAGCCATCAAAGACTTCCCCACTCCGAAAACCGTACGAGAACTTCGGCGTTTTCTAGGGATGCTAAACTTTTATCGCCGATTTAACAAAGGAGCTGCCGAAATTCAGGCACCATTCTCTTTGCTGACGGGGTCCGTAAAAGGATCACGTTCCGTGGATATGTCGGGAGAAGCCCTACATGCTTTTGAGCAGTGCAAAACTAGCCTCTGTCAAGCAGCATTCTTGGCACATCCAGATCTGAACGCAAGATTAGGTTTGGTAACCGACGCTTCAGATAAGGCAATCGGTGCCGCCTTGCAGCAAGTAAAGAATGGATCATGGCAGCCACTTGCATTCTTCTCTAAGAAACTGAAACCAGCCCAACAGAAATACTCGCCATACGACAGGGAGCTTCTTGCTATATACGAGTCAGTGAAATACTTTAGACACATGCTTGAAGCAAGACATTTTACTGTTTTTACTGATCACAAACTAATCTGTTATGCATTTCACATCAGAAAAGATAAGTGCTCACCCCGCCAGTATCGTCATCTCGATTTCATATCACAGTTCACCACCGACATCCAACACTTCTCTGGAAAAGATAACATAGTGGCTGATACGCTTTCAAGAGTGGAAGAATTGGCTCACCCTGTTAATCTAATTACCTTAGCCAAAATGCAGGACGTGGATACGGAACTGAAAGAAATTCTGAAAGGTGGGACATCACTTCGATTAGTTAAGGTACCAATACCTGGCACGAAGACAGACCTATATTGTGATGATGGAACTGGAAATCAAAGGCCTTACGTACCTCAAAACTTAAGGAAGCAAGTCTTTGACAGTTTACATTCGCTGAGCCATCCTGGGGTCAAAGCTACAACAAAGATGATAACAGAACGCTACGTTTGGCCAGGAGTAAAGAGAGACTGTCGTGAATGGTCGAAAACGTGTCACCCCTGCCAGCGTGCAAAAATAACACGTCATGTCTCCGCACCTTTAGGCACATACAAATTACCACCTGCCAGATTCCAATACGTCCATATAGACATCATTTTACCTTTACCTGTATCAGATGGATATCGCTATTGTCTTACAGCAGTTGATAGATTTACCAGATGGCCTGAGGCAATACCCTTATCAGATATCACTGCTGAAACTGTTGCAAAAGCAGTTCTTAATGGCTGGATCTCGCGTTTTGGGTGTCCTGCTGAAATCATCACAGATCGTGGAAGACAATTCGAATGTTCCTTATTTAAACATCTATCCAATCTAATTGGATTTCAGCATAAGCGAACTACATCTTACCACCCAGCGTGCAACGGTATGGTAGAAAGGATGCACAGACATCTTAAAGCCGCTATTGTATGTCACAATAATCAACGATGGATAGAATCATTGCCATTAGTATTACTGGGTATGAGAAATGCATTGAAACAAGACCTTCAAGCATCACCCGCTGAGTTACTTTATGGTGAATCACTTAGGTTACCAGGAGAATTTCTGCATTCTAACAACAGCGAAAGTAGCACAGACATAACGGATTTCTTATCACGCTTAAGGCTGATAATGAACAATATTCGTCCATCACCTGGAACACGTCACGGTAGTAAAAAAGTATTTATATTTAAAGACTTACCAAATGCGACTCACGTTTATGTCAGGGATGACTCTGTAAAAGGTTCACTGCAACCAGAGTACTCCGGTCCCTTCAAAGTGCTGGAAAGAGGAGACAAGATTTACAAATTACTCATGAAAGGCAAAGAACAAGCGGTCTCAATATATAGAATAAAACCTGCCTATACACCCTCTGACGCTTCAGCATGTCGAACACCACCTGCAAACAAAAAAGAAGAGTATGAGAAAAATTGTACACGCTCAGGACGCAGAGTTAAATTACCTGATTATTATCGCCCATCATAGATGATCTCTGGGGGGGAGTGATGTGGCGTCATTAATCTGAAAAAGAAAAATAAACAATCAAAATTAATAATCTATAACTACACAATCTACATTACACAATTAAAATTAAAATAGAATACAAAAATTAATAAGTAATATTAAACTTACCTTTGAGTCGTGTCGTATCGTCGCAGAAATCGTGACCAAGTCGTCGAGTAGTAAAGACGCCCCGATAATGCATTCGAACAAAGGATTGAAGACATCGAGGCGGCGCACCCGCCATGCGGCCATGCGGTTAGTAAGAATATATCTCCCTGGTATATAGTGTATTATCTATGAATATATCACTGTGACGATAAGACGTATGACGCTTGCGCCCGGCTATTGTTTGTTTTTGCTATTTGCTTTGAACTTTATCTTCCTTCTCGTGCTAATAACTTCTGTGCTACGCTTTGTGCTAAATTATAAACAGTATTTTATATGTGAACTATTGTATTTGTGAACAATTGTATTCGTGAATTATTGTAGCTGTGAACTATAGCATATTATAGGTATGAACTATTTAATTGTGTGAACTGTTCTGCTTAGAATAAACTTTTATAAAAAGTGATTGGTGAGTAATTTATTAAGAATCTCCCCACATCACTTCATAGGTGATGTGGGGAGCTAGCTTTAAGAAAACAACTATGATATATTCGGACTCAATAAAATATTATATCGAACAATATTTTTTTCAAGCTTAAAGATAAAGATAAAGATCATTTTATTTGTTCAAACATGAGTATACATACATATGCATGCAAGATGTTAAAAGAAAATATCTCGACAGTCATGTTTAGCCTCTACGGCGTACAAATGTTAAAAAAATAAATAAAAAAGTTACAATTTTAATTGGCCTTCGCCTTATTTAGTATTAATAAATTATACAATAAACATTAAAACAGAAAACAAACATCATTAGAGAAGAGAATCTATATTTTGGCTTAGCTTTCCATTGACGTCAGTGGAGTTTGGTATTGATACGTATTTTTATAGAAAGATTACACTATTATAAGCACACACACAAAGTCTCAATATACGGAAACGCGTAATTTTTGAGAAAAGAATAATTGAAAATCAATTATTCTTGCAATGTTTATGTCTAATCTGCTAATAAACTGGCGCCATTTTGTAATGTCATTGTCGACGTCAATAGGGATGTCGATTCTTTCCGAAAAAGGTCGATTTTTAAATCGATTCAAATCGTAAGCTGATGTATCGGTTCACAAAAAATCGATTTCTAAAATATCTATATTTTTTTAATGTTTCTATTTATAATGTAAATATAAACCCATTTTATGAAAAACAAGAAAGATACCATGATAAATGATCTCTTATTGAAATTTGTTTTATTTAACAGTTTTAGTATTAGTATTAGGGCAGATAACAAATAAAATAGGTTAGGTTCAACTTATGTCAAAGAACCGAATTGATTGACCCCGACTCCACCTGGTACGAGTCTGTCCTACCCCTAGAGTGGTTTTATAGAGCCGGAGGCGCGTAGGGGGAGCAGCCTCCGCCTGCTGTAACAAAAACGTAGGCATCGGACGAGCCGGAGCGGCTGAGGCTGGTCGCCGAAGGCGACCAACAAGCCGAAGCTGCGGAGGCGAGGAGGGATGCCTGCGATTTGTTACGCTAAGGCGTAGAGGTTGCTCTTCCCGCAGCGCCGGAGACGTGGCAGTCTCAAAATAGATACAGAAATCCTTATGAATCAGTCCCCTTATTTTTTTATGATGAAGGGGATTTTTTTCTCATAAAATGGATTTATATTTACATTATAAATGCAAACATGAAAAAAATATCGATATTTTAGAAATCGATTTTTTGGGAATCGATACATCAGCTTACGATGTGAATCGATTTAAAAATCGACCTTTTTCGGAAAGAATCGACATCCCTATTGACGTCGACAATGACATTACAAAATGGCGCCAGTTTATTAGCAGATTAGACATAAACATTGCACGAATAATTGATTTTCAATTATTCTTTTCTCAAAAATTACGCGTTTCCGTATATTGAGACTTTATGTGTGTGCTTATAATAGTGTAATCTTTCTGTAAAAATACGTATCAACACCAAACTCCACTGACGTCAATGGAAAGTCGTACCTATATTTTTAAATATACTTGTACTTAAAAACATACCTTTATTTACCTAAATGATTGTACAATTCTTAGTGTTACATACTTACATCAGTCAATTTCGTATATTATTACTTTCGATTATTTTATGAATTCTATTTTATTATGTTCAATTAGCAGTAAGATAATGTGTAATAATTTATATAAATGTTGATATTATATGTCATAGCAGTTAGTGGTCAATGTTGTCTTGCAGAAAATCATTAATATTGTAGTAGGCTTTATTTGCAAGGAAATTATTTAATTTATTTTTGAGTATGTTATTATTATGTTCTTTCCAGCGTTTAGGAATTTTATTATATATTTTTGGGCCCATGCAAAATATGCTGTTATTCATTAAAGTAGTTTTTGATTTATGTAGACAAAGTTTACTGTTATCACGTCTATTACGAACGACCGCATCAGACATGCGTGGAAATAGGTTAGGATTGCTCTTAACGAAAATAGCGCTTTCCAAAATATAAAGTGAGGGTAATGTTAAATTTATATTGTATGAAAAATGGTTTACAGCTCTCCGTGACCTTTAGTTTGAAAATGGTCCTTATGCATTGCTTCTGGGCTTTAAATACTAATTCTCTATTCGTAGCGTTACCTCAAAAGATAATGCCGTATCTAAGAATGGAGGAAACTAAACCATGGTACGCTGTGAGAAGGGCATCGATATTGAGCATTGGTACTAATTTGTAGAGTGCGTAAGAAGATTTACTGATTTTTTTTTTATTAAGGCTTCTGTGTGTGCTTTCCAATTGAGTTTTTTGTCAATAATTACACCAAGAAACTTCGCATTATCTACCTCATTAATCATTTTATTATTGTAGTGTGTATATAGGTTTGACGTAGTAGATCCTCTTTGTGTAAAGTGCATAATATTAGTTTTTTTCAAATTGATTTTTAAATTATTATTTTCTAGCCATTTTATCATTGATATTAGGGAATCATTAATGTCATTATTATAGGTATCATTATTTTTATAAAGTATAGTTATGGTATAGGCCATGGAAAGAAGCATGCTAGGGTTAAAAATCAAAGACAGAGTCAGGAACGACGACATTAGAACAAGAACAAAACTCACAGATATTCTTACCCGGATAGACGTCCAAAATGGAGATGGGCTGGACATTTGCTACGCCACCCCATTAACAAATGGAGCAAGCAAGTCACTCTCTGGCAACCAAGAGACGGCAAAAGAGGCAGGGGTCGTCAAGTTAGGAGATGGGAAGACGACTTGAAACAGACAGCGGGACCATTCTGGTTGAGAGTAGCAAGGGACAGGAACCATTGGAAGGAATTGGAGGAGGCCTATGCCAAAAGGCACACCGAACTTAGGGACCTCTTGTAACCCTATGTTTAGGAATAAAAGGCTATTATTCTTAGTTATGGTACTGTCATCGGCAAATAGTGTCACGTATTGGTTAATGCTTTTAGGTAGGTCATAGTTAATAGTCATACATAGTTAGAACGTATAAAATTGGGGAAAAATCTAAAGTGGCTGTTTAATATTCAATGGCGCTAAAACCATCTCATAAATTATTATCTTAGTGCATAGAATATGACCTGAAAAACTGCCGCTAAACATAGTCCTGAGTTACCAGCATCCTTTGTAATCCTGCATGTCATAACCGCCCTACGTTCCGTTAATTTGACAGCGTACTAAATTTCCAACGAACATAGGCCTTATGTTCCCTTATAGGTTGCCTCAACGTGGGGAAATCTAAGATGCCCATTACATAGTAGGTATTGCTGTCAGTTTTACAACAATCACGGTTGTGATTGACGAATAACCTACCGTGTAAAGTGGTCATTGACGGTTGCATGAAATTGATTGACAAATATCTGGATATTATTTTGATTTTTACGTTAATCAACTATCAGTCACGAATTTTCATTGAACGTGTAATGGTATTTCGTCAATCACGCATCGTCGCTCCTAGCTTTTCTTCGGGAGTTATAGCTTTTCGCATAATAAATCTTGTTTTTTACATATCGTCGCTGTAGAATGATAACCTCGTATGTCCAGAGATCTAAACTTTACAGGAAACGAAAAAAATAGTTCATTTCGTCAATGTTTAAAATATTGTTATTAGATTTTCTCTCATGTATTGAATGACAAAAAGGACTTTTTTATATTACTAACCAATCTCTTAATTAACTGTGTTATACCAGTTAAATTGACATAAGATGTTTTCTGTTTTAATATGTGCTAAGTTGCGAGGTTTTCAAAAGTAAAGACACTGCTGTAGACTAAAAATATAATGTTTTATTGGAAATAATTTGGACAAGTTTTGGTAAAAAATCAGGATAGAAAGATTTTCTTTCACAGATATCAGTCGAACCGTAAGCTTAGATAACCTAAAATTCTCTTAAACCTAATCATAACTCAACCGAAGTCCGTTTTCAAGCACATACCCAGAGTAAACAACAATACCTATTGTCACGTTAATTACGTTAACTGCAGCCGAAGGACCCAAAAAAAACCGAGGTACGACTTTCCATTGACGTCAGTGGAGTTTGGTGTTGATACGTATTTTTACAGAAAGATTACACTATTATAAGCACACACACAAAGTCTCAATTTACGGAAACGCGTAATTTTTGAGAAAAGAATAATTGAAAATCAATTATTCTTGCAATGTTTATGTCTAATCTGCTAATAAACTGGCGCCATTTTGTAATGTCATTGTCGACGTCAATAGGGATGTCGATTCTTTCCGAAAAAGATCGATTTTTTAAATAGATTCGAATTGTAAGCTGATGTATCGACTCCCAAAAAATCGATTTCTAAAATATCGATATTTTTTTCATGTTTGCATTTATAATGTAAATATAAATCCATTTTATGAAAAACAAGAAAGATACCATGATAAATGATCTCTTATTGAAATTGTTTTATTTAACAGTACCTATTAGGGCAGATAACAAATAAAATAGGTTAGGTTCAACTTATGTCAAAGAACCGAATTGATTGACCCCGACTACACCTGGTACGAGTCTGTCCTACCCCTAGAGTGGTTTTATAGAGCCGGAGGCGCGTAGGGGGAGCAGCCTCCGCCTGCTGTAACAATGCGGAGGCGAAGAGGGATGCCTGTGATTTGTTACGCTAAGGCGTAGAGGTTGCTCTGCAAACTTAGCATACTTGATGAGGCTACTATCTCTATAAGCGGCTCTATCTAGTAATTGGATAAGCGTTGAGTTAATTTTGTTCTCGTTTTCAATTATCTGGGATATCACACTATTATGTTGTAACATCCATTCTTTACTAATGCTAATGTGACTATTGAATTCTGATTCGATCCTATCTTGGTTATCCTTCAAAACTTTTATGGTATTATTATATTTCGCGGCATCTAAATAATCTAGATTACCGGTTACGCTTTTGATCACTGAGCCTAATCCGTCTACTAGACCTCTCTTAGTGCGACTAGGCTCTAAGCTATTTAGTTGTAATAATACTTTGTCTAGTTTGCTAGAAAGATAGTCCATTTGTAATTCGTACAGTAAGTTGGTGTCATTATCAAATCTGTTCTTGTAGTTCTGTAGCTGTACCTGCAATAAGGTTACTTTGTCTCTGATGTCGTCAAGTTTTACATATTGAAGAAATGTATGATAGTGAGTTATGAGAGTCGTTGGTCCAAGTGTAAATGGTAGTAGGCTTGGTCCGTCTTCAAGATATTCAAGTTTTATCTCCTGGGCTTCGATCGTCAGCACGGTCAGTACAGTCAGTAATTTTAGAGTTCTGTAACAAATCGGCAGTTTTAGGTACACGTTTAAGTCTAGACTTCCCTATCGGACCGCGTTTCCTAGACGTGTAAATGTGTATTGGTAAGTCAGCTAAAACATGATCATGGGTGTAACGTGGGGCTAATTTTTGTCGGCTAGCTAGGGGGTTGGAAACGAAAACTTGTTGGTTTGGTTGGTATTCAACCTCTGGTTCCCGTGATTTATTCCGATTATTTATTAATGCTGAACGTTCGGAGAAAGAATGTTCGTAAATTATTTCATACACTGTTTTCATTCGATCTCGGTGTGTTAGTATGTATTGCTGCAGTAAATGTTTTGTCAAGTCGATGTCGATTGGGTCTCTTGGGTTGAAATGTCCATTGACAATATCGTAAGGCCTACATTTAGTGAAACTATGTACAGAACTATTGTATCCTAGGATAGCATAGGGCATTAGATTTACTACATGCTCGTCTTTCTTTTGTAGTTTTAGGATTCGCAGATGTTCCAGTATAGTCGAGTGGAACCGCTCTATGTTACCGTTGTCGTTGGGACAGTGGGCTAACGTTCTATGATGGTTAATTTTGTGTAATTGTACGAACTCAGTAAATAGCTGGTTCGTAAATTCGGTCCCATTGTCGGTGACAATAGAAAGAGGAAGACCATGATGCGTACAGAAGGTAAGTAGGCTTTGTAAAATGCTCAATGCTGTTCCGTCTCTTAAATGATACGCTTGAGCATATTTGGAGAATACGTCTATAAATGTGAGATACTTGTCACTTGTTGTGTGTGTGTGAACATGTCCATATGGATAATCTCGAAAGGTTTGGTAGCGGGGGAACGATATTGAATTGAGGTTTTAGAGGTTTCCTATCGTACTTAGCCTGACCACATATGGTACATTCATTAATATATTTCGTAATGTGTTCCCTCATTTTGGGCCAATAGTATCGTTTGGAAAGGGCCAGGAAACTCTCGTTGATACCGCGATGGTTAGTTTTGCCTTCGTGGTAGTTCTTTATTATTTCTTGTTGTTGTAAATATTCTTTTATATTTTCGACTTCAACTTTAGTTAATACTAGATTCATAGACGAGCTTCTGAATTTATCTTGTAAGATTGGAATGACGTCATACATGCAAAGAGGGGGTTTAATTAATAATCCGGTTTTGACTTTTGGGTTAACGTATTCTTTTATGGCGTTGAGTTGAGTAGACCTTGCTACTTCCATTTCCGGTTGTCTTATCTGTACAGCTGTTCGAGTATGTGTATCAAAAGGTTTGGTCACTATTGGTCGTCTTTTTATGTCGCCTACAATTGTTAATATTAGTTGTCTGTGGAATTTATTAAGAGGTTCGTCGGTAATAGGAATTTCAAGGATCGGATTTTCTTGGCTTGTGTGGGCCGTTTGAGTAGTCGAGCCAGTGCTAGGGGCTGTTTTTACTGATGGGTTAGCTAACATAGAACACGTTTCTTCGTTATGTATTTCCACCCGGGAAAGCGCATCGGCATTGGTGTTATTTTTTCCTTTTTTATATATGACAGAAAAATCGTATTCGCTTAATTTTAATTTCCACCTAGTAAGTCGCGAGTTCGGTTCCTTAAGATTCATTACCCACTGAAGGGGTTTATGATCAGTTAAGATTTTAAAAGTACGGCCAAATAGGTAGGGTCTAAAGTACTTGGTTGCCCACACGATGGCAAGGAGTTCTTTCTCTATAGTGCTGTAGTTCACTTCGCTCTCATTTAGAGTTCTAGAAGCGTAACATACAGGTTTGTCTGATCCTATGGGTCCCTGAGATAGGATGGCTCCTATCGCTACATTGGATGCGTCAGTGGTCAGGATGAATTCTTTGTTGAAGTCAGGATATTGAAGGATTGGGTCGTTAGTCAAGAGAGTCTTGCACTTTTCGAAGCAGTTAATATAGTCTGTGTCAAGAGTTATTTTTCGTCCCTTTTTTAGACATTGTGTCAGAGGTTTAGTAATTCGAGCAAAGTCTGGGATGAACTTCCGATAATAGCCTATAAGGCCTAAAAACTGTTTAATCTCTTTTGCGGTTTTGGGTAATGGATACTTTTCTATGGCTGATATTTTACTAGGATTTGGCTTAATGCCATCTTTACTGATTATATGTCCTAAATAAGCGGTTTCCAATTTAAGAAACTCGGATTTATCCATTTGTATTTTAAAGTTGGATTCCCGTAGTTTCTGAAATACTTTCTCGAGATTTACCATGTGTTCTTGCAAGGAAGTGCTGAACACAATAATATCAGCTAAGTACACGAGACAAACTGTATTTTGGAGGTCACGGAGCACGTTTTCCATGACACGCTGAAACGTGGATGGCGAGTTCTTCAGGCCCATGGGCATCCGTAAGAACTCGAAATGCCCATGTTCAACGTTGAATGCTGTTTTCGGTATGTCACTAGGGTTCATTTCGACCTGGTAAAATCCACTGGCTAAATCCAAGGTTGTGAAATATTGGCAATTTCCTAACTTATCTAGTACATCCGATATATTCGGTATTGGGTATTTATCGCTAATGGTTTTTTTCATTTAGCTTCCTAAAGTCGACTACGAGTCGCCATTTAGTCTTGCCGGAAGCATCAACTTTTTTAGGAACTATCCAGATGGGAGAGCTCCATGCAGATTCGGACGGACGAATTATACCTTGCTCTAACATTTTACTGATTTGTTGTTTAACTTCATCTCTATGAACGTAAGGGTACCGATAGCTTTTAGTATATATCGGTATCTCATCAGTTGTCCGGATGCTATGCTTTATTTTATTAGTAAATGTGAGCTGTTCGCCTTCTATATAAAAAACGTCAGCGTATTTGGCACATAATCTTTCTAAATTAGCGCGTTCTTCGGCATTTAGATGGTCGGTGCGTAAACGTGATAATACTTCTTTGTAATGTGGGAGTGGTTGAACGTTGTGAGAGGACTCGATGTTATACGTCTCAGCACATATTGGACGATCTAGGGAGAAAATTATATCGTGCGGAGTCGGGTTAAATACCTCTATAATACCGCGGTTATTTGACACTAATGTTAGACATTCGTTTATCACGCAATTAGAGATGTATTTTTCGCTAACTAAGGCTTCTCCGTCATGGACATTAATAGGTACTTTTATTAATTTTGAAGATTGGGATGGTATCACGTCCTCGTAAAAATTAACATTTCTAGAGTTATACATTAAGATGGGGTTGTAAGCTAATCGTGTTACAAGTAATCTATCCTTTAGATCTATTCTAGCTTCCCATTTCTCTAATAGGTCGAGACCAATAAGGCCATCGAAGTAATCGTGAAATTTATAAATATATAGTTTAATACTATCAGGCTCTTGGAATTCGGAAAAGCATGGAATAGTTATCGAATAATTATTCCTAGTTGTAGCATGCACATTCGTTACCTCGAAAGGATCATAATTTAAAGGTATATGTGAAAAATATTTTTGTATAGCTTCCGGATTAATGACTGATCCTTCATCAAGGACTGATTCGCTCCGGTATCGATTAGAAATTTTAACGGAGGGTTAGAAATACATATGTATGGAAGCCGTCTCTGCGTATGTAAGTTTACTTCTATTTTGGCTTTTTTGAAAAACGAGTCTTTGGAAAATCCTGAGGCGAACTGCTTGTAGAAGGTTGGCAGTCTATGTTATCTTGTTCGTTTATCTCAGTTGTGTCATGGTATTGGTAATGCTGTGTGTCGTCATAGTCATAGGTCACAGTATTGGTATAGTCGTCATTATCATTATAGTCGTAATAGTCATATTGGTGTTCAGGATAATAGTAACTATCGTAATCAGCACATTCGTTAAAATTCATTTCCCTACTTTTGAAGTAATTTGAAGGCGGCGGGTTACCGTATTTGCGCCAATCATGACCGGTCAGACCTGTCGGAGGCATTGGTTTAGGTACGTAATGGCTAACCCCACTCATAGGCTTCGGACCTGAGTCATGGGGTGGATTCCTATTTGGTAATCTAAACGTATTACTATGGGGTTTATAATTAGGTGGCAAAGCGCGGAACATTTGTTGAGTTCTCGTAGGCATGTTATACTGTGGTGGCACGTTAGGCCTAAAACCTTGCTGCTGTGGTACATGTAAAGGTCGCTGTAAATTGGGCATTGGTATCGGTGCAGGAAAACTGAATGGTTTTTGCAAAGGTAAGGTCATGTAGCTAGGATGGAGAGGCTTAGGTGCTTGAGGTTTCCTCTCGGCGAAAGGTTCACCGCGTTGTTGCAAGTACATAACATTCAGTTCTTCCTGTACAAACTCCAAGGCTTTTTCAACGGTATCAGGACGCATGCAACGTATTCGTGAGCCCAGTGGCTCCTTTAAACCGCGCACGAAAGCTTGCTTCGTTAGATTCTTATATAATATACGTTTGGCTTCTATTGTAGTAGGCAAGGTTTCATGAAGCGTAACATACGTCATGATAGTGCTGAACAGTGTCTGACATCGTGCATAAAATTCTTGGGGAGAGCTGTTCCCCTGAGTAGCTAATGAGAGGTCATTATAGAGCGCCGTTTCGTCTCTTTGGTCCGAAAAGTTATTGATTAAAGCTGTACGAATGCCATGCCAGCTTTCAGGAATACCATTTGAATTTAAAGTAGTCGCAGCGGGTCCAGTTATTTTATTTAATATACCGTTAAGCAAACATAAGTTCGATAGTTCACTGCCAGGTTCATTACTTAGATATGCAGCACATATTTGGTCACATAATTTTATAAACCTAGTTAGTACATTAGGATTACCGTCAAACTCTGGCACTGGGCGTAAAACTTTGAAAATAGTGTCAGGGTCGTGGGCCATTTTTGATTCCTCGGTAATTATATCTAACTCTAAATAACAACTTAAATCTCTATTATAGTCTAAACTTTCTCTACGTGGCTACCTACGCGATGTAGGGTCACAGTGGGATGATTTCCTTGGATAGAAAATTTTGACAGGAAAGATTTACACTAGGAAAAGGAAAGCAACACTAGATAAAATTCTGGTTTACTTACATAAATTTCATCTCGGTTTTCTCGGGATCGATGTCTTGATGTATCCTCTTGGCTTGCAGTTGACCCGTAGTAGATTCGAATACTCGTTTAAAGCTTGAAAGCTACGATAGCCTAACTAACTTTTGAGTATCCTACCGACTGCGCCAATTACGTTAACTGCAGCCGAAGGACCCAAAAAAAACCGAAACTAGTTTAAAATACTTTATTATAATATAAAAATTACAATATAATTACTATAACTAAAATATAAGTGAATCAGATCGATCATAGATCTAGAATGAATTTTAATTATTACAGTAAAAATAAGGTAAAGGTATATTGCAGAGCTCCGGTTGCATCCGTTGACGTCAATGCTCACGTTCTGCTGAGTTGCGCCTCGTGCCGCTGCAATGTATCGGGGTCGCTGCTGTGTAGGCTCTTTACCTATGAGGCTATGTTATAACTCGTTATTATTTTATTTGATAATAAATAAATAATAACAACAATTTTTTTGAATATTTAATAACACTACTTATACTAGACTAATATAAGTACTTCTAAAGAGATATTTAATAACACTACTTGTAAAACTAGACTAATATAGGTACTTCTAAAGAGATATTTAATAATACTGCTTATAAAAAAGAACTAATATAAATACTTCTAAGAAAAATACTAAGTTGACTAATAATAATAAAAAAGGCAAATAAAATAAAATTAACAGGTCGCGGTTTCGACACCTTTCAGGATCAGGAGAAAAAGCAAGTACTTCCCTGGCACGACTGGTGGCGAGTCCGGCGGAAGTGGTTGGAGATATGTGTCCTTTATAGACCGATTTCGCTTGCGAATTCAATGTATATTTTATATATATATATATATATATTTCATTTAATTCCAAATCCTCCCATCTTATCTCGCTTAGAAATAAAATAATAAGAAGGATGTCACAGCCCCTGGCGAGGTTCCCTGGAACACACAGTCGAAATCTTTCATGAGCCTTGCCTCCAAAGTATGTAATATTATACGCCCACCGCCAGAATCAACTAGGCGAGTAAAACTGATAAGTTTGGTGTGGCGGTACATGCTACCAGAACGGAGGCAAGAAAATAAAGTTATATCAACTAAGCATCTACTATGAAAAGATATACACAATTACGTGATAAAATAACTAGCATGTGACATAAAATTAAATTACACACTAAGTATCAATTGTCTAAATTTCAAAAATCAAAGTGACATAATATTTGTTATACTATTGTAATACATATATTATAAATTTGCTCACACTTACCCAATATAAGGGGAACAACCGTTAATATTTAATAATTATTAACAAACCTATAAAAAGCTATTAGCTATAATTTGCATAACGTATGCGTTTTGAATTATTTAATATAGATCCAGAAATGCATTTAGGTGACTGGACCTTCACGGTCACACTGAGGTCACTCGTCAGCCGCGCGGACTATTCATGCACCCCCACTTGTCTTCGCGCGAATTAGATGACACATTACAATACCCCGCTGGCCACCCAAGGATTTTCTTCCTATAAGTAGAAAAATCCGCAGCAAAACCAAAAAATGTGCTATTTAGACAATTTAAAATCTTTTATGTGCCATGGCCCTAAATATTTACCGTGCATGTCCTCCAATTCGTACACTAGAGGTGACCTCTTTTTAGTTATGCGGCATTTAATAAATTTTGGGGCTAATTTTTTATTAAAATATTTGTGTTTATCACTCAGATAGTAAGTGCGCTTAAATACAATATCGCCTTCGTTAAATTCTGTGAACCTTCTCCTTAAATTATAGCGTTTGGAATTTTGTTGATGATGATGCCATAGTGATGCCTGAACTTTGTTGAATATTTTAGCGGGATAACCGATGTTCTCAGCATAGGCGTCTCGCGGTAAGAAAACAATTTCATCGCCAAGGTCGTTGTCAACGTAGTGAGAACCACATATTACCAATTTACGCCCATATACAAGGAATGAGAGAGGGTAACCAGTAACCTCGTTAACGGAGTTGTTTATTGCAAACAGTATTTTAGGCAAATATACATCCCAAGAACGCTGATCTTCTTTCACAAAGGTCGATATACAGGTGACAATAGTTTTATTATAGCGTTCCACCAAATTAACCTGAGGAGTATATTTAGGTGTAAGAAAAACGTTAGGAATATTATACTTATTAAATAACGCAATGGTCTTCTCACAAATAAATTGGCTGCCATTATCCATATACACCGTTTGGGGAATGCCATGTGTTAAAAATACAGAGTCTTCCAGATGTTTAATTACAATGTCGGCTATAGCTCTTCTTACCGGAAACGCTAAACAATATTTGGAGAAACAACATGTTACGACTAAGATATAAGAATTTTGTTTTCTACTAACTGGCAGGGGTCCGATGAAATCAATTGAAATAATTTGTAAGGGTCGGCAACACTGTTTAGGTCGTCCCATTTCTCCTAACACATTATGAGTAGGGAGTTTATAAGTTAAGCAGATGTCACACTTCGTAACAAACTTTACGACGTCCCGATGCATACCTGGCCAAAAATACTGCAATGCTAAACGGCGATAAGTTTTATGGAGGCCTAAATGACCTGACGTGGGTTCTGTGTGATTTTCTTTGATAATGTTCGCGACGGTTTAAAGACTTTAAGCAAAAAGTGATTAAAGAATATTAAATTATTTTAAAAAGTGAAATTAGCGACAAAATCGAATAAATTGTGTTTAATATAGTTTTACAGTATGTTTACAACTCGTAATATATTTGTATAAAGTATCGTTTTAATAATAAGTTGATATAAACGACTTTAAACATTAAATAAAATTTCGACCAATCACAGCGCAGCATATCGTGGAACTTTCTAGAAGTTAATTAACTGCGCAATAGTTTATATGAAAATAATGAGAATATTTTTATGGTCTGAAAGAATTGTAAATACGATATTTAGTTAGCATATGGTATATAGATTGAAATAAGTAAATAGATAATTTATGTAAATAAACGCATTTGAGAAATATAGTAAAATTAAAGATTTAATGTGCACTTTTGTTATGTAAATTAGGTACATTTTGATTAATAACTTTTTTGAATGTAAATATATCAAGTAACCCTTATCACATAATGATAAAGGACCAAAATGCCTATTTTATAGTGTATAGCGTGTTAATGTAAAAATTAGCATTATATAGAAAAATTGCGATTTGTGCAAATTACGTAATGAAAATGTTTGATAATAAAAAGGCAAAACCGAAAATTGGCAAGCGGCTCTCTATAGAGTATAGCCGAAGTCTACCTTATGGGGGCAAATCACAGTAACATGGTAGTAGGAAGAACTACCAGTAACAAGCAGTAGTATCCGGTAGTAGCTGAAGTGACTAGTAGCAGAACACAGTGAAAAGTTAAAGTGAAATAGAAAAAGTTTAGCTAGCCGAAAAAGGTCGTAACTGAAAAATCGCAGTTACACATAGTCGGAAAAAGTGGCAACTGAAAATTCTCAGTTGCATATAGTAAAATAGTGTCAGCTAGCCAAAAATAGTGGTAACTGATATTCGCAGTTACATATAGTGAAAAAAGTGTTGGCTAGCTGAAAAAAGTGGTAACGGAAATTTCGCCGTTACATATAGTGAAAAGTGTTAGCTAGACGAAAAAAGTGGTAACTGATATTCGCAGTTACAAAAGTGTTAAATTCAACTAATCTTAGTTGATTAATAGCTGCTAGTCAGTAGTGTTAGAAAACCAGCTGCTACCAATAGAAATTTTGGATACTACCAATAGAAATTTGTTACTTTCAATAGATATTTAAAATTACCAATAGAAATAGTAGAGAATACCAATAGAAACTTGTTACTGCCAATAGAAATTTGATATTACCAACAGATATTTTGAAAATACGAATAGAAATTTTAAAAAACCAATAGAAATTTTAATATTACTGTGTGTTTAATTAAATCTGTGTTTTGAAATATATAGTGAACAATCATAGTTGAAAAACAGTGTTAAATAAATAAATAAGTTATAATATTTCGTGACTAATTACTCAGTCGAACCGCTGGCCACTCCCTTGCTATTTTAATTTATAAATCGTGCATTTTTAATTCTGAACCTCAGTCCACAGTTCTCCAACAGCATACACAAAGGCGGTAGTGAAAGTATCCACCGGAACCTATAGGTGTAGGACGTGAGCGGCTCGCGGAGTAACTTCGACAACATTTACTCCGGAGAGTTACGCCCGTCCGGCACAGATAACGTGTTCTCGTAATTCTAATGGAACTACGAGTACTTCTTTCCACGAAAACTCTGTAGTTAATAAACATTTATTTTTTGAACACCGATATAGCTTTTCCGCTTTGATAAGAAAATTTTCAAATTTACTTGGATTGTTCATACAACCGTTATAAATGTCTAGATACCATTTATCATTCGTTGTTAAGTAAGATTTTGCTGTGGAAATAGAAGAAACTACGACAGCGCGAGATAACGCGTCTGGAATAATGTTATCAGCACCACGTCTATGCTTGATAGTAAAATCAAAAGAAAATAGCCTAATGCCCCATCTTGCAAGCCTGCCCGTAGGGTTGTTTATAGAGAGAAACCACTTTAATGCTGAATGATCAGTGTAAACTACAAAAGGCTGACCATTTTCAAGATAGCAACGCCAGTGTTCTAATGCTACTATTACAGCTAATGTCTCTCTCTCGGTAATGCTGTAATTCTTTTCTGCAGCATTTAGTGACTTGCTCATATAGGCAACAGGATGTTCTTTGCCATCGACTGTTTGAGTTAACATGGCACCTACTCCATAATTACTGGCGTCTGTGTGAACTTGGAAGGGCAAATTATAGTTAGGACAATGTAAGACTGGTGCAGATACTAAACATTATTTTAGCTTTTTAAAAGCTATGTCTGCCTCTGGTGACCAGTAAAATTTTGGAGCACCCTTGCGATTTGAAGTAAGTTTATTAAGAGGCCCAGCTATAGTGCTAAAATTTGGCACAAAACGTCTATACCAGGTGGCTGTTCCTAAAAAACGTTTTACATCTTTTTTTGAAGATGGTGTTGGATACTCTAAAATAGCTTTTACCTTTTCAGGGTCTGTTCTGAGACCCTGGGCGTCTATTACGTAGCCCAAATATTTCAGACGAGACGGAAAAAATTGGCTTTTTTCAAAGTTTATTGTTAAATTTGCTTCCTTTAACTTATTTATTACACGTAATAATAAAGAAACGTGTTCACCGAATGTGTTAGAAATAATAATTATATTATCGAGGTATGCAAATACCTTAAGAACAAATGAACCAAATAATAAGTCTACAAGCCTTTGTTGGGTTGCAGGTGCATTGGTAAGGCCGAAAGCCATCCTCTTAAAACAAAAGGTCCCACGACCTTGGACATAAAAGGCAGTTTTTTCGCGATCGCGTTCTGAAATTAAAATTTGCCAGAATGCTTTAGAAAGGTCTATACTAGATATAAATTTTGCGTCTCGCAGATTATCCAGAATTTCGGAAATATATGGCAAGGAATAAGCATCGCGTTTGGTTACAGAATTTAACTTGCGACTGTCTAAGCAAATGCGCGGTTGGCCGTTTTTTTTTTGTAACAATTAAGATTGGAGAGGACCAAGAGCTCTTACAAGGCTGAATTACGTCCAATGAAAGCATCTCGTCAACTTGCTGGCATAAAATTTGCTGCTTTACAGGGGACATTCGATAATAACGCTGTCGTATAGGTTTCGTGTCACCCGTATCAATAGAATGACATACAAGAGAAGCACAACCTAAGCCCTTGCGTTCGGAAGAAACGTCCTTAAATTGTTCAATTATGTCGTCAGCAATCAAGCGTTGGTTGGCATTAAGGGATGCGTATGAATGTATATGAGATTTTAATATTGATTAATTCGTGTTTGAATAATAATCGGTGAGTTCTCTTTTATATTCAAAGCAGTTGATGTATTTTGGGCATATGTTAAATTTTTTCCAGAAATCAATACCTAATATAAGAGAGGTCTCTATTTCAGGAACAACAAATGTCTTCAAAGTATAATAATTGTTTTCAAAATTAAATGGGAGATTAATATATCCTAAGCAATTAAGTTTTTGTCCACCGGCTGCTGTTATAGAGACTATTTCATCAGTGTGCACAGCAAATCCTTCATCTATCAGTAAGTTGTGTGCATTATTGCCTAGTAAGGTGACGGCTGAGCCAGAATCTAATAACCCCCAAAATTTTGTATTTCCTATTTTGACTGATAAATAAGGTCGCACGTCGTTAGGTGGTTTATTAAGTAGAATTGTAGCAACTGTATAGCTATTAAAAAAATTATTAATAAATTTCAACCACTGTTTCCAATCGGTATTATTAGAGTGGTTGACGAGGTTGCTACAATTATGCTTTATTAGTTTTTTGAACTAGACGGAATACTTGTACAATCTGGACAAGTGTAAAATGTGTAATCATCACGGCCACATTTGAAACAAAATACTTTGCGTTTTTCTGTACATTGTCTTAAGTTGTGTGTATCAACACGACACCGGGGGCAAAACTTTTGTTTACTTTCGTCATATTGAATAGCGTCAATTGGTTTATTATTACCATAAACTCTTTGTTGCCGTTGCGGATTAATGTTGTTTAAAACATTAGAATTGGGAGAATATTTTTTATAAAGGTTACTTGAATTAGGTATAGGTTTATTATAATTATTATAAGCTTTATTGCAATTAAATTTATTGGTGGTAGAATAGTACATTTTATTTTTTTCTGCTAAATTAGTGAGTGGCTTAAATGCAAATTCGGGTGCTAGTGTGGCTGAATTTGTTTTAGGAGGTTCATAATATTTATTAAGACAAGACTACATTCTCATAATTTTTACAAGCCGTACGTAAGACCTCAATAGATTTAAGATCAGGCACTGCAATTAAAGCGCTAGCATAACACGGTTTGATATTGTGCATAATAATTTCTAACTGATCTTCCTCCGAAGGTTTTTTAAATAAACTGGAAAACATGCCTGACATAATGGCTAGGTAAATAGTAATATTCTCAGTTTCACCTTGCGTACGAGCTTTCATCTCGTCTAATAAGCGATAATCATGATCAGGAATAACAAAAATATCCTTCAGTAATTCGCATAATCTATCCCAAGATGTAACATGTGATCTTACACTGCGAAACCAGTGTAAAGCATCACCAACGAAAATTTCTGTTCCAAAATCTATAATTTTAGAAGAGGGAATACCACGGGCTGTTATATAGTCGTTTATACGTTGGACAAACGAAAGTACGCACGTTTTTCCATCAAACTTAATACTAGTTAAGTCCGAAGAATGAGCTCGATCACATGTAACAACAATAGGGGACGGTGTAATTGTAAGAGCATCTGTAAATTCAGATGAGGAATCAGTATCAGGCTTGAGATGTTCTAAGTTTTTAAAATTTGTATTTAGCTTGAGCCTGAGGCTTTCTAGAATATCTGTAGACTTTTTATCTACAGCATCCAGACGTTGAGTCCTATGAAATAAATGGTTAAGTAAGTTTTGAGTACGTTTATATAAATTTTTATCATATTTCACTGATAATGTTTTTAAATTCGTTTCTACTTTAACAAGGCTTTCGCGGATGCCCTCTACGTCTACAGAAAACTAAAATTAACAGGTCGCGGGTTCGACGCCTTTCAGGATCAGGAGAAAAAGCAAGTACTTCCCTGGCACGACTGGCGGCGAGTCCGGCGGAAGTGGTTGGAGATATGTGTCCTTTATAGACCGATTTCGCTTGCGAATTCAATGTATATTTTATATATATATATATATATATATATATATATATATTTCATTTAATTCCAAATCCTCCCATCTTATCTCGTTTAGAAATAAAAAAATCATTCGCCGTGTGGAGTCAATCTTGCGCAGACGTGTAAAAATACGAACAGTTTAGCTTGGTGAATACGTGCACTCTAATTAAGACCTTAACTAGTTAGTGACTGAGTTCGCCTTTGTGTGTCTTGTGTGTGCAGTGATAAATAGCCTGTGCATCTCTTGTGAATCGCTTGCAACGCTGTGCTTGAAAAGGCTATATTACATCTTGCTGTCGTAATGCAACGTACACCGCCATCGGCTACTTTTAAATGTGCATCCAACCCCGATATTCCTAACTCAGCGCTTAATATCCGCGATACTGATTGCTTTGTTAACCTACGTAAGCGTAAACAACCCGAATCGGATATGGCGAGCTCCGTAGTGGAGGTTGTCGAGCAAAAAATAAATGAACAGCTTGCAGCTTGGAAGAATCGGCTGGACACAAACATCGCCGAAACCATAAGAAACGCTGTTAACGCGACACTTGAGCACGAAATGAGTAAATTAACCTCGTCTATTAACAACTCACTGAAGGATATAACTACTAGACTAGACGACATAGAAAAATCTATAACCTACTCAGGTGAAAGACAAGATAATTTTGAGAGTCGATTGAAGTTAATTGAAGAAAAAGTTATCGCGAGTAGCACTGTGAATTCCCAAATTGCCGCCTTAGAGAATAAAATTGAATCAATGGAGCAACAGGCAAGGCAATATAATATCGAGATTGCTAATCTCCCGGAACGCCGTAACGAAAATCTTATAACCTTATTACAGAAAATAGGTACAATAATAAAACATCCTATCAATGCCACAGACATTCTCTCCGCTCATCGTGTACCCCATTTTGATCAGAAAAATCAACATCCCAAAAATGTGATTGTTAAATTATCCTCCAAAATATTGCGAGACAACATAGTTGTGGCGGCGAGGGCAGTAAGAGGAGTCAGATCTGACCAACTCTCAATCTCTGGCACTCCGTGTACGATTTATTTAAATGAGCACCTGACTCCAAAAAATAAACAATTATTTCGTTTATGCCGTGTCGCTGCGAAGAAGCATAATTATAAATATACTTGGATTAAGCATGGTACTGTACTTGTTCGCCAAACCGATTCATCACCAATATTTGCAATACGTAACGAACAAGACATTGATAAGATCAAGTAGTGACGTCAATAATAATTTGCATTTTTTGTTTTATCGTGTAAAAACATATATATCAGTATCACGGTTAAAAAAAATAGTAAGTCTACCCTATGTATATTGTTATTTACCCCGTGTCTCTTGTTTGTGCGAATTGCAAATAATAATAATTTTAGTTGTGTGTTCCTATACTGAAAATAGTGCATTAATCTGTTATGATAAAGTATGTCATAAATATCACTGTATGTATTATAATAACTTGTGCAGTTTTAATCTGAGTTATAACCATGAAGTAGGAAATAATTTATATTCGATGGAATTTTTAAAAACGGTACGAAACATAGCACTTAATTACTTTAGTAAAAATTACTTTGCAATAGTATCATTAATGGTATATTACACTAATCATATCTCTATCTTATAAGAATTATTCATTCAAAATGGCTAATAGTTATTTAACACTGTACTACCAAAACTGCAGAGGACTTAAAACAAAACTACACACTCTTTACACTAATGTTGCCTCCAGTACCTATGACATAATAATATTAACAGAAACTTGGTTGCGCAATGACATCTCCGATAGTGAATACATTGATTCTAGGTATCAGGTGTTTAGAATAGATCGGGACCGATCGACCGGTGGCCGGCGGGATGGAGGCGGCGTGCTTGTGGCCGTGTCGCGTACGCTCTGTGCTACTGCACTCGCGCTGGCCGCTGCCGACGTACCCCTCCCGCCTCTTGTTGACCAGTTGATGATTCAACTCAACATAGGAAAACGTAAACTGATTATTTGCGCTGTGTATATCCCACCTAAACAAAACTACGACACATACCGTGCTTATTTAGACTTTTTACACAGCGCGGTGCATGATTTAGATACTGACATTTATATAATAGGTGACTTTAATCTGCCTAGTCTAAAGTGGGAAAATAAAGGCATTTTCACTCAACCAATTATAAATTCTGACATAACTCCCACGCACAGATACTTAATTAACTTTATGTCATCACTTGAATGTTATCAATTGAATTCGTTAAAAAATAAAACAAATAATATATTAGACTTATGCATCAGTAATAATATAAATAGCAAAACTTCTCCTGTACAATTACCTTTGATTCCACCAGATGGACATCACCCTCCATTCCAGGTAGTTGTATCTTATGTCGAGGAATTAAAACGCTTGAAAAATAAAAACTATCTTAAATATTGTTACAAACACGCGGACTATGCAAAAATTAATGAAGAAATAGCAAATACTGATTGGAATCTTCTCTTCATGGAAAAAGAAGTAGAAGAGGCAGTTTCTAATTTCTATGAAAGGATATATGCCATAATAAAAAAACATGTGCCCACAAA